TCATGGAGAATGTTTGCCCTGGCATACTACTATCCACTACCACACTATGACACTACCGTCCTCATACTGATCCTGGTCATGGAGAATGTTTGCCCTGGCACACTACTCACCACTACCACACTATGACACTACCGTCCTCATACTGATCCTGGTCATGGAGAATGTTTGCCCTGGCACACTACTCACCACTACCACACTATGACACTACCGTCCTCATACTGATCCTGGTCATGGAGAATGTTTGCCCTGACATACTACTCACCACTACCACACTATGACACTACCGTCCTCATACTGATCCTGGTCATGGAGAATGTTTGCCCTGACATACTACTCACCACTACCACACTATGACACTACCGTCCTCATACTGATCCTGGTCATGGAGAATGTTTGCCCTGGCACACTACTCACCACTACCACACTATGACACTACCGTCCTCATACTGATCCTGGTCATGGAGAATGTTTGCCCTGACATACTACTCACCACTACCACACTATGACACTACCGTCCTCATACTGATCCTGGTCATGGAGAATGTTTGCCCTGGCACACTACTACTCACACTCCCACACTATGGAACACTACCGTCCTCATACTGATCCTGGTCATGGAGAATGTTTGCCCTGGCATACTACTCACCACTACCACACTATGACACTACCGTCCTCATACTGATCCTGGTCATGGAGAATGTTTGCCCTGGCACACTACTCACCACTACCACACTATGACACTACCGTCCTCATACTGATCCTGGTCATGGAGAATGTTTGCCCTGACATACTACTCACCACTACCACACTATGACACTACCGTCCTCATACTGATCCTGGTCATGGAGAATGTTTGCCCTGGCACACTACTCACCACTACCACACTATGACACTACCGTCCTCATACTGATCCTGGTCATGGAATATGTTTGCCCTGACATACTACTCACCACTACCACACTATGACACTACCGTCCTCATACTGATCCTGGTCATGGAGAATGTTTGCCCTGGCACACTACTCACCACTACCACACTATGACACTACCATCCTCATACTGATCCTGGTCATGGAGAATGTTTGCCCTGGCACACTACTCACCACTACCACACTATGACACTACCGTCCTCATACTGATCCTGGTCATGGAGAATGTTTGCCCTGGCATACTACTCACCACTACCACACCCACAAGTTGCCTGTCCATGCTGTTGCCTATCCCTATCTTTGCTGCCTCTATGATAAGCTGTTAGGCTCACACCTTTCACATAATTCCTTGCTTTCAGGCAGGCTGCATCGAGCTGGTGTTTAATTCGCTGTTTAATAAGACGATCTTGGCTGGTTGTGGTTTCTAGGCCCAGGTGTCATTGCAGCCTCTCCCTGTTCGCTACTGTACCTGCAATTCGGCATTTTTTCTATTCATTGACACATTATATACACAAAGAACTTAGTTAAGGACCTCCTGACATATCTCACGATTCAATGAGCCCGAGCTTAACCCTTTGGAGCATATCTGGGACATGAATTCAACATTAAACACTCCAGGGCCATACGTGTACAGACATGGTTTTGTATGAATATCAGTGTTTTTTAAATGAGCACATATCATCATAAAATCAACATCTATTCCAATCATTTTGTTGTGTTTTATGAGTCAAAGGATCATACCGGTCAGAAAAACTGTTTCTCCATCGTGGTCACCACGAGACGTTTGCAAAAATACAGGGGGTGCTTAATTAAGTTCTTTGTGTATATTATCTCCCTACAGGCGCCACACACTTTGGGTTGTGTGTACACGTGGAGCTGTCGGGTAGCCTAGTGGTTAAAGCGTCCGCTTGTCACACTGAAGACCCGGGTTCGATTCCACCCATGTGTACAATGCCTGAAGCCCTTTTCTGGTGTCTCCTGTCGTGATATTTCTGGAATATTGCTAAAAGCGACGTAAAACCGTGCTCAACCAGTCACCAACTGCGTGCCTTGTAAATGCATGACATGAGATACAACGCCACAGTATTGTAAATGCATGACATGAGATACAACGCCACAGTATTGTAACTGCATGACATGAGATACAACGCCACAGTATTGTAAATGCATGACATGAGATACAACGCCACAGTATTGTAACTGCATGACATGAGATACAACGCCACAGTATTGTAACTGCATGACATGAGATACAACGCCACAGTATTGTAAATGCATGACATGAGATACAACGCCACAGTATTGTAAATGCATGACATGAGATACAACGCCACAGTATTGTAACTGCATGACATTGCCACAGTATTGTAAATGCATGACATGAGATACAACGCCACAGTATTGTAAATGCATGACATGAGATACAACGCCACAGTATTGTAAATGCATGACATGAGATACAACGCCACAGTATTGTAACTGCATGACATGAGATACAACGCCACAGTATTGTAAATGCATGACATGAGATACAACGCCACAGTATTGTAAATGCATGACATGAGATACAACGCCACAGTATTGTAACTGCATGACATGAGATACAACGCCACAGTATTGTAACTGCATGACATGAGATACAACGCCACAGTATTGTAAATGCATGACATGAGATACAACGCCATTGAGATACAAGATACAACCACAGTATTGTAACTGCATGACATGAGATACAACGCCACAGTATTGTAACTGCATGACATGAGATACAACGCCACAGTATTGTAAATGCATGACATGAGATACAACGCCACAGTATTGTAAATGCATGACATGAGATACAACGCCACAGTATTGTAACTGCATGACATGAGATAACAACGCCACAGTATTGTAACGCCACAGTGCATGACATGAGATACAACGCCACAGTATTGTATGAAATGCATGACATGAACAACGCCACTGCATGACATGAGATACAACGCCACAGTATTGTAAATGCATGACATGAGATACAACGCCACAGTATTGTAACTGCATGACATGAGATACAACGCCACAGTATTGTAACTGCATGACATGAGATACAACGCCACAGTGCATGACATGAGATACAACGCCACAGTATTGTAAATGCATGACATGAGATACAACGCCACAGTATTGTAACTGCATGACATGAGATACAACGCCACAGTATTGTAACTGCATGACATGAGATACAACGCCACAGTATTGTAAATGCATGACATGAGATACAACGCCACAGTATTGTAAAATGTTGGGTTTTGTTCTCCCTTGTTTTTGTTGGCCGTATGCATATACTGGTATATGTGCATGGCCATCATCGCGTCTCTGGGAAATATGTAACACATCATTTGACAAATCAGTACCACTATATTATAACGCTACAATACTCAGCAAACGCGTCTTTTCAATAAAGGATGTGTTATGTAGACCTAACGCATATTTTAAATGTATGATTTCATGATTGTAAAAAGATTTTTAGTTAATTCTCAAGTGTCAAGAGTCGTCATTAAAGTGTCGAAGCATGTGATAGCGTGTTACATGTCAAACCTAATCAGAATGACTTAAACCAATCACAGTATTTTACACGTTTGAGGGCCTTCACAACGTAAATTCTCATTCAACGTCCACAATTGTAGAAATAACTTTTTATGGACTGCACCACTGATTGATTTAGACGTTACACAAAATAATCTCATTAAATTCGAATGCCATTTTGTAAAAATCGTGTAATTAATTAGGCTTCGTTGGTTGTTATCAGTTTTATTGACATAACGAAATGGGTTTTTTGAATGACTTTCTTGCACCATTAAAACATATTGCTATATTCCTTGATCCATGAAAAATGGAATACGCATGTCTGAGTAAATGGAAAGTTGAATAATTCCCGGTTTGAATATGCCCAGACTAACATGAATAATGTGACATGTGCTATTACAGTTCATTTGAATCTTGTATATTTAGGTCATACTTACATCGCGAAAAACCCTGACAGCTCTGACATCTATTGATCGTTACATAACTACATGGTTACAACTCGGTAACAGCACATTCCTCCTGCCAACCCGGAAATGAAAGAAATGATAAGAATCTATTCCAAAGAATTTTGTTTATAAAGAATGTTTCATCATCACGTCATCTGACATAGAAACCCTCTGTATCACATGTTCATACTCAGTTACACTGTGGTGGGACGTCGCCATATAATACCTCGAACGAGACTTTAAGCCCTATTTTACATGACCGCACCTCACTGAGATATGGCGTGGATACTCAAATGTGTGACTTAGCACTCCTGAAATGTGGTTAGCTGCTACTGTTCACACAGAAGGATGGCATGCCACCTGTTCTTGCCCAATGACCTTCTCCGGATACCGTCAGGTGGCAGCCACTGCCGTGACTTAATCAATACCCCTCCTACAATGATTGGCGCATCCTTCAGCTCTAGCATTGATTATGCCATTAGTAAGACAGGCGGGGGCATTTCCCCGGCTGCTGCTTGCAGAACTATGGAAGTATATTCCTCCCAAGCAATCTGTAATCGTAAAGTAAATTTACTGTAAATAGTCATCAGCATGCGAGCCCAACCTCTAAACATATCCCACAGGCCACGGAATAGATTTATGGATGTGGGCATATGTTTCTACAGGCTCAAACAATGATGGCATCCACGTGGCAGAAAGTGCCACAAAGTTTTACTGTTATATTTTAACTGGATCTTTTGTGTTGCTCTCGGCGGAAGTGTTTAACAAGCTGACGTGTGATTGGGTGGTTTGACCGCCCATTGATTTGCTTGACAATAAACTGAAGGTGGACAACAGTGAGATAGTAAATTACCACCAGCATGACCAGCGGCAGCAATGATCCCGACAACATATCGACTTTCGTCACTCGAGCTTAGCCTATGAGAGTCTTTTAGAGGAGCAGGCGACATCAGTGCCGATCACACACATTCAGAAGTCAGTGACAGAACTCTTTGCGGTGAGCGGCAGAACCCATGCCAGTACTTGATCTAGTCGATACCCCTGTCTCTATTAGTTACTTGACGCCTGCACCACTGGGTTGATATCTAATTACGAACCTTATCATCCAAAGTGGTCTTTGTTTTATTCATCCATAGATTCTTTTTCGAAGATGGATTTACGCCACGCTGAGTTGCTAAGCCACTGAAACGGTTGTGCTCCAACTAAAGACTGGTAATTTTCATTACAGCTGACTGGATAGACGTGTTTTCTGGACTTGCAAAAAGACGTGTTTGCAGGACTTGTTTTCTGGACTTGCACTCTGGCCGTTCTCTATTTCCATGTTTTATTGTGATATAATGGAGAAGGCAACTTTTTCGATAATATGATTTCAATGTGGATATAAGAGGACGATCGTTAATTATTGATTTGGTAATCAAACACAAGAACTCGATGTCTCTCGGAAATTAATGATGCATTGAAGACTGACAATTTATACTGAAAACGTTCTCCACGGAAAGCTCTCGGGGCCGTCGATTTAAAGATTTCAAACTTTCTTTGTGAGCAAACTGATTTGGGATTCATTTCCAACATATCTCAGGATGGTCCATTCAAACATTACAGCAGACACTGAAGAAATTCTGTTGATAAGATTCGAGCCATGGAACCATACAACTCACTCAAACGAAACAACTGTGGGATCCGACCCTACCCCACCGGGTCTGCCGATGGTGGCCCCTTCCTACATAGCTCTTTTCTCAACCCTGTTTTGTGTTGTTGGCACGGTAGGCATCCTTGGGAACCTCATGGTTGTATACATCATCCTGGCAGACAGGAAGATGAGGAAGTCGGTTACGAATATGCTCATCCTGAACCTTGCTCTAGCTGACTCCCTCATCATGTTATGTGGCATCCCTGAGATTGTTCTGTTTATGATCAACAAAGGTTGGCTTCTGGGACTGGTGATGTGTAAGTTCCAGCGGACAGTTCTTGTATGTGCGCTGTACACATCGGTGCTTACCTTGGTAGCTGTCTGCATTGAAAGGTATGTTGTACACATACATAAAACACACATAACACACTTTTCTGCCTGGTCCTAACCTAAAAATAACATTTGCTCAGTTTTCCGAAGCATTCAAACTCTCACAAAAATCAACACATGCTAAATATTTTTTTTATTTCAGATACTACGTAATTTAAAGGAGAACATATACTCATATAGGTTGTTTTATTATCATCGTTTTATGTGTAATGGTTTTCATAAACCTGTTTAACACTTTACCTTCGCGTCATACACACACAAAGCGATGCTGCATTGGTCCTTAGAAAAGCAATATTCTCCTAAATTCATATTCTCAAGCGCATTTACCAAACCACTATTACTAAACCGTGTACACAATCTCTATCACTTAGATATAAAACACAACCATCACGCTAAACCCAAAAGTTCCTTGTTCTGACATCAACTTAATCAAACATACATAAAACATGTTTATGTAATGAAGTATTCGTCCAGTTTATTGGCATGTTGTCTGTACATCGTCTTATTGGATCACAACTCAATCTGTTAGGTGTGATGCACAGCATTAAGTGCTAACGTAACCGACACCTACAAACTAATGCATTAATCCAGTCACGTATGGTCATCATCCCAGACAAGGCCTTTGTGTGGCAGGTGGAAGCACGTTCAACATTTCCAGACATGAGATCACTAAGTTTGGCATAGAAGGTTGCTGCAACATCATGTACGACAGAGTGTAATCTCTGGAAATGTTTGCTTTACAAAATGACATTATCTCACAAACAAACATATTCACTTTGTCTTAAGGATTGTAATGACTGCTCCTAAATACGAAATTGCTTCAGAGGCCATTACAGAGCGTAGGTTTACGCAGAATACTAATCTGCATGAGAGAATCCTGACGTAGGCAGTTATTAATATCATATTCATTAAAACTGATATCCTTGTCACACGTAATGATGACCCAATCATGGTATGGCTGCAATGAATCTACAATCTACTACATTACAAAGTATTTATATTGCGTCCCAATTGTGTCACGTTCCAGAAGTAGGTTCACATTCTACACTGTATTAAATTGGCTGTCTGTATGTTTTCGTCTGAAATTCATTTTTCTATTCCTATAACGTCATTATTCATACCCCGACCTGATATGTTTTACTCCGCCCTGGGCAATATTCATGCGCATTCATATCCGGGGAATCTAAGAATGGTATTCTGGAATTGTATCCACCTTGGGGATCGAACCAGGATCTCCCATGTGATGAACGTCTTCTTTAACCACTTGAAATTGAAAAGTACAATTTCTTTAATATCCAATATTGAATTTGTGAGAAAGCGTATAACGTTAGGTCAATACAGGGAATTTATGAATACGAACATGTACAAATTAAAAACACGAACAGGTTCAAGCTAATGCCTTTCAATCAGCAACATTTGAGAACGTCGCCCTCTTTGGGGCAATTCAACACTGAAAATCAATCAATTTCCGAGTTAATATTAGAGAAGGGTGTCAGAAATAACGAAAAACACAGGTTTACAAAAGTCTACTTTTTCCTTGGGCCTGGGCATTTATTTTATTGGTTTCATTATCTTCTGCATCTTCAATGATTTCATGTTTTATAACGTCATAAGTCATAAAAGTAGTCATGTTTTTATGACGTCATCTAAATATCACTAGTCCAAGGAGGGACAAAGGTTCATACGTCCTTTACAGGAAGCCAAACTGGATTGAGTGGTCGGATGTTGGTTTGATATCTTCGGGATGTTGCTGATAACATCAACCCCTGGTTTGTCTTGGTCAGGTTGAATTATTTCCCTTTATATTTCCCGGTGACCATCGTCGCAGTAGAGAAAAGATAACCACTTATTTTTTCAACATAAAATGTTAAAATGGCCCATTTTCGGGAAAGTAGATAAGTCACACGTAAATGTTCCATCGGGGTGAGAAGCTATACTAAGTTTGCCAGCTTGTGTTTGCATTAGTTTAGAAACAACTAAATGATGAAGGTCACTTTAACCATGTAGTTGTGGGGGTGACTTCTATGAGTGAGTGAGTTAAAACTTAATGTCACTTTGGCAATGTTTCAGCTATACGTGACAAAAACAGTAAATGTTTTAAATTTTAAATTTTAAAATCTGTCGCCAAAGGACAGTAAAACAGCTAGTATATCACAGTTAGAGATATAAAACTAGCAGGTAACTTAGAATTACAGAGTATTTATGACATCATAGCATAAAAAATGGGCTATAGATCGCCAGCAACTGGAGGTAGATCACCGTACTAGGGGCCACGGGGTGACTTCTATGATTACAATGTTCTCAGGATTATCAGATATAAAGCAGAAGGTTCACCCAACACTTTCAATAACTTGGAATATAGACAGGCTATGGTGACCACATGGGCTTGTAAGGCTAAAAACTGCCATCAAGGTACATACTGTCACTGACGTGGTCTTAGTACTATATAAAAGGAAAAGGATGAATGAAGGAATGAATGAATGAATCTCTTTATTTCCTCCAGATTGTAGTCCGAAGATCATTATGAACATGTACATGACATATTTACAGCAACATAATCACAGCAATATATTCACAACACATTCATATAGTCATATATACATGTACTAAGAAAAAATGAAAGGTCTAGAATGCACAGTTTAGTGAGGGAAGCAAGGAATATAGGTATTTACAGAAGAGGACAATCATACATCTCCATGACATTTCATCAATATCGTTAGTAACTAGTAGTTCACCCCCAGAAAATAGTGATAACATTTCATCTTCAGATAATAATTCTATTTGTACATAAACATCCACATCAAAGAGATCTATAAGTTTTGAAAAGAAATTATTTCTGTTGTACATATAGTGTTCACAGTGTAAAAATTACATGGCAGTCATAATCATTACAGTATCTTTTGCAGAGTTCACAATGTTTTGAGAATTTTCCCCTTGAGCTGATTTGTACACAAAACTGTAATATATCTTTAAACTGTGGGTAGAAATACATCAAACAATACAGTCTATGTACACCAAAGAAGTTGTGGGTCAAGCGATATCTATTCATATCGTGCCTTACACATACTTGAGAAGCCCATCGTTCAGTTTCAGATTTATTTATGCAATTAATAGTGATTCTTCGCCATGACGATTTACATGGAAACCTTCCAAAATCGAGATAGTCACTAAGATAATTGAAGAGATTGTATTTTAAACTAGTTTGAATAAGTGTGTCACATATGCTGTGTAAGACAGCTGTTCTGTTTTGAAAGGTGGCTAAATGTACACAGAAAATATCCTTAAATGAAGAGTTACACTTGCTGTTGCACAGCTTGCCGAGAAATAATAGTCTACATTTATCTATATAGCCATCCATACTCCACAATCCAAGGTTACCTAGCACTGAAGCAGAGGAAAAGCGCTTACCGAAACCCTGAATGCATCTGGCAAAATATCTCTGTGTACTTTCTACCAAGTCATAGTCTTTACCTCGAAGAATGGGTAAAAGTTCACAACCGTAAAAGCTCGTTGGAAGTATCATTCTTTCCATATTTTAACAGAAGAAGTAGGGTGGAGATCTTTACCATTTAAACCAAGACTTTTAGAGAATTTACAGATTGCCGTGCTTTCTGGCAGTATGAATATACTCTAGATTTTGGGGATAGATCAGACGAAAGTAAAATGCCTCCATACTTAACACAATCACTTATTGGTATGTCTGAATCACCAAATTTGAAAGAATAATTACCCAGACGTTTCTTATATTTGCAGAAAATGACACAAGTGCTTTTTAGAACCGTTATACGTTAGACGCCACTTACCAGCATAGCTATAAACAGTATCAAGTGATGATTGAAGACCTTTTGGAGAAGTGGAAGCAAGTGTTGTGTCGTCAGCCAATAGAATACATGGGATATTAATGCCACTTACACAAATGCCATTGTTCAAATCTCTAAGTTCACATATCAAATCATTAATAAAAACAAGGAAAAACCAGGAAGACAAGACTCTACCTTGCCCAACACCTTGCTTGATAACATATTCATTTGATCTCAGACCACAATATTGCACAAAAGCAGAGCTTGATGTATAACTTTGATATAGGAGCTGCCACATTTTGCCCTTTATACCCATTTGATATAGCTTTAAAAAGAGTCCATTATGCCATATGCGATCAAACGCCTTCTCATTGTCCATAAAGGCTGTATAAACTGGAGAACCTCTGCTTAGATAATATGATAAGCTTTCGTTTAGAGTAAAGACTGAAGTGGTTGCTCCATGTTCCTTTCTAAACCCAAATTGGAGCTTGTCTGGAAATGAGGGTATGTATTCTTGTACCCAGATTTCTAGTCTAGCCAATAAGACTTTTTCAAAAAGTTTACCAACACAAGAAGTAAGAGTTATTCCTCTATAATTTTTTGGATCATTTTTCGCCTTTTTACCTTTATATATCGGGATAATTACACCTCTTCTGAAAGTGCTAGGGACATATGCAGATCCTAAAATAGAGTTAAAAAGTGCCGTTAATGTATTTACGATGTCATCACCACCATAAATAAGATGTTCATTGTGAATACAGTCCGGGCCAGGAGATTTATTTTTGTGGAGATTACTGATATGTTCCTTTACTTCATCACTTTCAATATGTTTACATAAAATATCTTCTTTGCATGAGGAATATTTCTGGCTTATATTTCTAACCTTCCTGTCAACTGTTATTAGAAAGTTGCTATCAAATAATGGAGAGTAATGAGGTTTGGCGAGATCTGCAAAGTAATCACCCCATAGTTCACAAATATCTTCTGCTGTGTTTGCACATTTATGACCAAATACTAGCTCTTTAACAACTGGACTCTGTCGCCTCATTTTGAACTGAACTGATTTAAAGAAAGTACCTATATCAGCATCGGAGCACCTTTCTAATTCGCTACTTAAATCTGAGCGCTGTTTCCGTTTAGACTTTTACGATGTAATCGTCTAAATTCCCGCTTGGCTAATTTGTAATTAATATACAAAGGCGAGTTACCTGTCCTTGGTTTACCATCAACCAACCACTCGCGTCTAGCTACACGCATATTGTAATGCAAATCGTTTAGTCCGTCTGATTTCCAGTATGGCTTTAAATGTGCTTTAAAAACACCCGAAGGAATACACCGGGAACTGGCAGATTGTAGAGCATTTATAACATTACATGTGTATGATTCAATTTCATGGGGAGGTAGGGGATGAGGGGGAATAGTAATTTCTGAGAGAAGTCGGGAACTTTCCTCGCTGTATACGTTAATGTCACATTGGTCAGCTTTATGCCATTTTGGAAAATAGAGGCTATCAGATTTGCGTACATGTTCCTGTTGTCTAGATACAGTAGCAAGACATGGGTAATGGTCAGATACAGCGTAGCTACAATCATCCATTACACAACAATAGGCAAGCTGATCGGTCAGGTGTGACGGGAGGAGTATGTAATCAATGAGCGATTTAAATCTGCTGTCCTTACTTCTACATGTATGGTCAGGCCCATGGTTGCGTAATGTACTAACAGCATGTATAAGATGCCGTTCTGTGATATAGTTATAAAGCACACTATCACGTGGGGATAATATGTTTTTACAAATATCTGCATTGAGGTCACCCAGTATAAAAGTATCACCCTTTTGACTAAGGATATCATACATATCAAAGAGTTGTTCAACTGCATCTACATACACAGAGTGCAGAACATTAGTGGAAGGTAGTCGGGAAGATATTACATACATATCAGGATATCCATGTGCATATACAACTGCAGCAACAAAAAATTCTGTCTTGGTTGCAATTCTGCGCAGCCTCCAGGTGGACTTATTGTTACGCAGTATGGCAACACCGCCAGCACCTCGAGAAGAAGTTGTTTTGTTACATATAGATGAAATGAGTGAAAACCATTAATATCATTGAGACTGTGGACATTATCTGACTGAGCCAATGTTCTTGCACAGCAACAATATCAACATCATCTGGAATATTATTGACAATATCTTGACAATCATGTGGTAAGCCACGAATATTCCATGATATTAAGCTTAAAGTCATGATATATAGGGAAACAAGGAGAAACTTACTCATTTTGATATGAATATCCATTATCACTATATTGCCCATAATTGTCCTGTTTCTTCTGTCGTGGTACATAGTCACGACATGTGATGTCAGCTGGCCAGAAGTTATCGTTCATATCACCAGTGTAGTCGTCACACGCCATATTGACCTGCACTGTGTAGGTATCTGTTCCGTCATAGTATGAGCGCTTGCGTAGCAGTCTTGTGTACGTCACACGCACATACCGAGCATGTGCATAGTCGTGAATGAGCTGTTTCACACTGTCAAACGGTTTATCGGCCTTTATGTTAGATAAGACTACACGTTTAGTCTTTATCCTTGGTACACCTTCCAGCGTAGAGTAGGTTTTCGCCAGGGATTTTATCTGGTACGTTGTAGTTGTCTGTGGTTTGTCTGCGCGTTGATCCTGGAGAGTGTGGTGAGCTTGTGCTGTATGTTGTACAGGATGATGAGGGCTGTACTTGGGTCGTATCCATGTCCCTTGAAAACACAAGACCATGGACATTATCTGCATAGTACTTCCTCAGTTTGTCCCTGTCGGAGAGATCAACCATGTTAGACTGTTTGTTTGTGAGAGTATTGTTTCTGTCACTGGCTCTGTTAACGCTCTTATTTGACATAGTCTCCTTACAGCTGTTGGTGGGTTGAGTAGACACGGTATTGGTTGTACCATTATTACAGTTCTGTTCAGTACTGTTCACAGCACAGGTACGAGTGTTACTGGATGAGTCGATGATGGTTACAGGTGAAGCTGGAGTGTCAGTGTTCTGTTTGCCAGAATTGTACGATGATACTGGTGATTTAACAATACTCGCATACGTTGACTTCTGCTTACCAACGTTATCCAGCTTACTACTGATCGATTTGAGTTTATTGTCCACCTGATAGTTAAGGCGAATGATTTGATCTTCAAGGTCATGGACTTTATCTTTCAATATCTTGTTGTCTTGGGAACTCAGCTTGATTTCCGCTCTTAACTCAGCCCTTCTAGCTTCTGAATCTTGCAAGCGCTGATTTAAATCCTGAATATGTTTATTTTTTTCTTCAATTATTTTGCTTTTCCGAGATAGATCTTGATTTAGTTTGTCTTCTAAGTTCGAAAGACTTTGTTTGGTGCATCCTGATTTTGTGAGACACATTGTTTTAATTGTATAATATGAGTCAATAACTGATCAAGTTTATGTTTGTCACCTTGGTGTCTTGTCTGTGGAGTTGTCCTAGGAGTGTTGTCCTGTTGTCTTGTGTGTTCGTCCTCTGTGTTCTTCACCACCGGTACCAGTGATTGACAGGTACTTGATATTTGCTCTGCTCAGGAGACCTTATTCTGAATCACGTGACCGGGAACACCGCCCTCGATGAAATGATAGAGATAGTAGATGTCATGGGCGTATCTATCCAGCATTGTCACTGTTGTCCCATTGGTTAGTCTGCGTCTGATTAGCTGTCCTTCTGGGAAATCGTGACAACTTTCTTTTGCATAATCATACAAGCTTGCCCTGGTATGATGAATGTGCTTAGCATCGTGATCATAGGTGTCAAGCAGACTATCAACAAAGCTCTGTCTGTCTTTGTTCCCAAATTTCCTTTTTATCTCTAAGTAGATAGCTTGGTCTGTCTCGTCACTCGGCTGTGTCAGGTGTATATCCTCACTGTCGTCTTCTGTCCTCTCGTCTGCACCCAAGCTGTCAGAGTGCTCCTCCTGATTGGTCTCCATTGTTTTGCAACAATAGAGGCTTTCCACTGAATATCCACAGAATATGCTGCATTGGTCCTTAGAAAAGCAATATTCTCCTAAATTCATATTCTCAAGCGCATTTACCAAACCACTATTACTAAACCGTGTACACAATCTCTATCACTTAGATATAAAACACAACCATCACGCTAAACCCAAAAGTTCCTTGTTCTGACATCAACTTAATCAAACATACATAAAACATGTTTATGTAATGAAGTATTCGTCCAGTTTATTGGCATGTTGTCTGTACATCGTCTTATTGGATCACAACTCAATCTGTTAGGTGTGATGCACAGCATTAAGTGCTAACGTAACCGACACCTACAAACTAATGCATTAATCCAGTCACGTATGGTCATCATCCCAGACAAGGCCTTTTGTGGCAAGGTGGAAGCACGTTCAACATTTCCAGACATGAGATCACTAAGTTTGGCATAGAAGGTTGCTGCAACATCATGTACGACAGAGTGTAATCTCTGGAAATGTTTGCTTTTACAAAATGACATTATCTCACAAACAAACATATTCACTTTGTCTTAAGGATTGTAATGACTGCTCCTAAATACGAAATTGCTTCAGAGGCCATTACAGAGCGTAGGTTTACGCAGAATACTAATCTGCATGAGAGAATCCTGACGTAGGCAGTTATTAATATCATATTCATTAAAACTGATATCCTTGTCACACGTAATGATGACCCAATCATTGTATGGCTGCAATGAATCTACAATCTACTACATTACAAAGTATTTATATTGCGTCCCAATTGTGTCACGTTCCAGAAGTAGGTTCACATTCTACACTGTATTAAATTGGCTGTCTGTATGTTTTCGTCTGAAATTCATTTTTCTATTCCTATAACGTCATTATTCATACCCCGACCTGATATGTTTTACTCCGCCCTGGGCAATATTCATGCGCATTCATATCCGGGGAATCTAAGAATGGTATTCTGGAATTGTATCCACCTTGGGGATCGAACCAGGATCTCCCATGTGATGAACGTCTTCTTTAACCACTTGAAATTGAAAAGTACAATTTCTTTAATATCCAATATTGAATTTGTGAGAAAGCGTATAACGTTAGGTCAATACAGGGAATTTATGAATACGAACATGTACAAATTAAAAACACGAACAGGTTCAAGCTAATGCCTTTCAATCAGCAACATTTGAGAACGTCGCCCTCTTTGGGGCAATTCAACACTGAAAATCAATCAATTTCCGAGTTAATATTAGAGAAGGGTGTCAGAAATAACGAAAAACACAGGTTTACAAAAGTCTACTTTTTCCTTGGGCCTGGGCATTTATTTTATTGGTTTCATTATCTTCTGCATCTTCAATGATTTCATGTTTTTATAACGTCATAAGTCATAAAAAGTAGTCATGTTTTTATGACGTCATCTAAATATCACTAGTCCAAGGAGGGACAAAGGTTCATACGTCCTTTACAGGAAGCCAAACTGGATTGAGTGGTCGGATGTTGGTTTGATATCTTCGGGATGTTGCTGATAACATCAACCCCTGGTTTGTCTTGGTCAGGTTGAATTATTTCCCTTTATATTTCCCGGTGACCATCGTCGCAGTAGAGAAAAGATAACCACTTATTTTTTCAACATAAAATGTTAAAATGGCCCATTTTCGGGAAAGTAGATAAGTCACACGTAAATGTTCCATCGGGGTGAGAAGCTATACTAAGTTTGCCAGCTTGTGTTTGCATTAGTTTAGAAACAACTAAATGATGAAGGTCACTTTAACCATGTAGTTGTGGGGGTGACTTCTATGAGTGAGTGAGTTAAAACTTAATGTCACTTTGGCAATGTTTCAGCTATACGTGACAAAAACAGTAAATGTTTTAAATTTTAAATTTTAAAATCTGTCGCCAAAGGACAGTAAAACAGCTAGTATATCACAGTTAGAGATATAAAACTAGCAGGTAACTTAGAATTACAGAGTATTTATGACATCATAGCATAAAAATGGGCTATAGATCGCCAGCAACTGGAGGTAGATCACCGTACTAGGGGCCACGGGGTGACTTCTATGATTACAATGTTCTCAGGATTATCAGATATAAAGCAGAAGGTTCACCCAACACTTTCAATAACTTGGAATATAGACAGGCTATGGTGACCACATGGGCTTGTAAGGCTAAAAACTGCCATCAAGGTACATACTGTCACTGACGTGGTCTTAGTACTATATAAAAGGAAAAGGATGTAACGAGGTCAACACACCAGGTTCGTTTCAGGGCGAATTTAACAATATTCACTGTATTTATCCATTTTAATTGGCACACATTACAAGCCAATAGATTTACCTACAAAATGAGACATACAGCACAAAAATCGAAGCAGTGCTTTGGGAGCTAGGGTCTTCGGAAGCTCGAAAAATCGTGATTTCTCGATTCCGAGCCAAAATCCCTGCTCAGAATTTGTAGCGGTAACTCACCCATTTTCTTGTTTATTTCACAGTATACACAAACGACATGCACCAAAACATGTTGAACTGATAGCGCCTGTCAGCGCGCTAGTCGCCATTCTTTCGGAGACACTTACATTTCACTGTCATAATGAGTTTACGTACAGAATTGTGTCGTGCACGTTCGCCATTGACGACCTTGGCCTTAACCTGCCCCGCAGGGAGCTCATTGGCTAAAAATAAATTATGTCCCATCAAATCGCTGACTCTTTTCAGTGCGGGGCAGGTTATGGCCAAGGTCGTCAATGGCGATCTGCACAATTAGGAACCGATGACATGTGTCAACCAAGTCAGCGAGCCTGACCACCCGATCCCGTTAGTCGCCTCTTACGACAAGCATTCGTTACTGAAGATCAATATTCTAACCCGGACTTTCACGGGTAGAGATGTCATGATATATTCCCTTTGTTATCATGAATTGACAAAAATAGGATACCGTGTCAATACCAATTGAATTGGAAATGATTTGGAAAATGTCGAAAGTCAAGATTCCGTGCCACTAACACTTCATTTTCTCGAATTTCCGAGCGGTTCATAAACAGCCTGGAATGTATGAATTTAAAATATACCTGGAATATATGGATTATACCTTATCAGTTGGATACGTGGAATAAACATCAGCTGTCACATTAGTGTTGCAAGCTGATGGAAATGGTAAATATGTTGGAGCCTGGTATACATGATGTCATTTTGTTTTACATATGGATATTTTTTCCATAGGTTTAGAACTAAAGCGACAAAACCGCATCCAGAAAAATTAGAGTTGATTATGGAATTCGGAATATATCATGAATACGTGTTTATGAATTACTATGAAACAGTGGTGATACCAGTTGTTCGCATATAAAAACGATAAAAACACAAAACACTGAGCCCAAACGGTGGTACCCGTCACAAACACATGCAAAGCCAAGTCAAATGTTCACCTGAAAAAGACACACAAGGACATACGGTACATAAGTCTTAATAATGAATTGAATAGGACATACGTTTGGTCACCTCTGCGTTAGACATTGAAATGTCCCTCACATGTCCACCAAAAGACGTGTTTAAAGGTTCACTGACGCCTTGAATGTTGTAACCGTCATAGTGTATGAGCAACAGTCCTACGACCCTTTTTGAAAATTTGGAGAAAGTGCATGGTCGAGTTGTGAAATATAAACTCTGGCAGACAGAAATGAGAGCGGAACACCGTCCCATTAGGGCGTCAGGACGGCTAAATTATGAAGCGCAAGCAGTGAGTAAAGTTTTACGCTGCTTTTAGACATATTCCAGCAATATCGGGGCACACTAGACATGGGCTTTCCACATTGTACCCATGTAGGGAATCAAATCCGGATCCTCGGCGTGATGAGAGAAAGCTGTACTTGACTCCCTCACCGCCCTATGAAGAAAATTACTTACACTGCCTAAACTGATAGGATATATAAAGAAGTTCCACTGATGGCACTGTTAAAGATCATTTAAAGTGTAAGGTTATACAAGACCATTTGGCTCATAACGTCTCCGGTCATATCACACACGAACCGCCTCCGTGGTGTAGTAGAGCGTGGAAGGTCGGGGTTCGATCCCCGGCCGTCATACAAAAGACGTTAAAATATGGTACTTATTGGTCCCTGCCTGTAGCTCGGCATTTATGGGTACAACACGGATTAGTCGGCTCGGACTCGGTATAATGTGTCTGAGTGGGGTATTAATGCTTAACTGCGGCATGGTATCTCAGTGAACTAGCACTATAAAACAAGCTCAAGTCTGGGCTAGTACAAGCAGCCACACATACACATGCACGTCGTCATACGAGCGAAATATTCTTAAGTGCAACGTTAAACCCCATTTCACCTCACCACATATCACACACACACTGTACGTAGTTTCTCTTTAATCGTTTCGTTTTTTCTCTCCACTTTTACTGATCACCGCTGCTCATTATAACAAGAAATCCTTTCAGCTACAACTGGACGGAATATTATTCAATATTAACGCAATGAGCCCTATTTCACGTTTTGTAAATACAGCATGCCACAACATAACTTCTATTTAATTTCTATTTGTTTTCAGGAATTTCCGAGATAATGCTTTTTCATCGATAAATCTTAGACCTCCCCGTGAATATAAAAAAATGGGTTCCTAATGAAATAAAACTATATTACATAATGATTCTTACTATTAAAATGCTTTGGTTTAAGAATCAATTATGACACAATTACACGTGTCAGTGTTATTCAGTTTATCCTTCAGCGGTATTTATGAATTATAACGATAATGGTATAGTTGCATTTCCTTGTATTTTACCTCAGTTAGCAGTAATCAATCATTCGGTATGGCATACACAGGAAATAAGAATGTGTAACTGATTACATCGCTGTATGCTTTCGGCGCCATTCAACGATTACAAATACAGAAACAGAATATTGTGTTGCACATTTTCATATGAAATTCCAAGTTAATATTTGGTTCATTCTCCTCCTAATACGCCTGACGCTGTACTTCCTGCATTGAGCATAACTCTATTCAAGAGGTGGCTTCTGTTTTGAAGGCTACAATATGTATATGTGTTCACCATGATGTATTAACAGGCAGTAATATTGACTGGCCATACACTACATTACACAGGCCATGCAGCACTGTACATTTAACATGTGTTCGAGTGTTTACCACACAGCAGTTATATACAAGCACGTTAAGGATAATGAGTGAGTATGGACATTATTGTAAACATTTGTACTTCGCAAGAACCATATCCATAGCCATACTGGGAACAAATATAATATCCATAGCCATACTGGGAACAAATATAATATCCATGGCCATACTGGGAACAACTATAATATCCATAGCCATACTGGGAACAAATATAATATCCATAGCCATACTGGGAACAAATATAATAACCATAGCCATACTGGGAACAACTATAATCTCCATAGCCATATTGAGAACAAATATAATATCCATAGCCATACTGGGAACAACTATAATATCCATAGCCATCCTGGGAACAACTATAATATCCATAGCCATACTGGGAACAACTATAACATCCATAGCCATACTGAGAACAAATATAATATCCATAGCCATACTGGGAACAACTATAATATCCATAGCCATACTGGGAACAAATATAATATCCATAGCCATACTGGGAACACCTATAATATCCATAGCCATACTGGGAACAAATATAATATCCATAGCCATACTGGGAACAACTATAATATCCATAGCCATACGGGAACAAATATAATATCCATAGCCATCCTGGGAACAACTATAATATCCATAGCCATACTGGGAACAAATATAATATCCATAGGCATCCTGGAAACAACTATAATATCCATAGCCATACTGAGAACAAATATAATATCCATAGCCATACTGGGAACAACTATAATATCCATAGGATCTGGAAATGGCGCATTTTCAATAGTACCAACAAATGCAATTTGTAAAGTTACGGAACTGACATTTTCATCTAAGTGTTTATTAGTGTGCATTCATATTCGTTAATAACGCGTCTTCTTGTAATTGGCACATTATATTTTCTAATTGGAGCTGTCATTGTCTGTATAACAAATACCTAACGGTGAAGAAATCGAACTTTCTTGGACTGTATTGATATTGTTATAGATGGTGGCTCGCTGTCACGCCAACCTTTCGCAACCTATGTAAACTATCAACGCTGTTCATTCTTTACGTACTTAGTGATATTACTTTACTTTAAGGTAAACTGGATGACATTGATGTTAGTCACCAGCCACAGCTATGGTGGCCTGTGTAGAACAGGCTGAGAATTCGTCAGCAGCCCATGCTTGTTAGAAGCGGGTATAGGTGTCGAGTGGTTAGCTTCTCTTTGGCCATCGTTTCTCGAATCCGTAGATCGATGCTTATGGTGTCGGTCGCGGGATTAAATACTGCCGTCATATAGCTGTAAAAATACTGGGGGAGTTTTTAAATATTAAAAACAAACTAACAGTTATGGTGCTGACAAATGCAAAACTATAACAGGAATGGACCGGGATTCGAATACATGACCATAGCTTCTCTACTTCGTTCTGCGCAACACTGCGCTGTGGCTCCCTGGGCTACCCGTGCCGCCAGCTAGATAAGTACTGCAATGGACAAGGTGAAACAGACAAGATTATACGTGCAGCGCGCCCACTGAAAGGTTGCCCCCAAATAGATAATCCTATGTAACATAACGTTTAAAGATACTTAGTTCCATTAAATTGATTTTAACTCCAAATGCCAGTGTTAAAAATAGAATTATACATTTATATCAATGAAGCTTGTGTAGTTCATAGTACATATTTATATTATTGCGCAACATCTGTTTAAAGTGTGAAATTGATAACAAACACAAAAGTGAGTTGCTTTAAACGTCAGTTACATTCTGAAAGGTAACAGGTAGCGGTGCGAGTGACATGCATCCCTTGGAGTTTCTAGATTTGCGGGAGTGTTTTCTGTGTCATTGTAGTAGTAGTTTGTTTGTGGCTTAAGGCGACAGTAAGCAATATTCGAGCTTAATGGTGGCTGTCAGTAAATAATAGAGTCTGTACAATACAATCCCGTGATCAACAGCATGAACATCGATCTATGCAGCCAAGAGAGTGAGCCTGACCACCCAATCCCGTTTGTCGCATCTTACGACAAGCATCGGTTGCTGAAGACCAATTCTAACGAGTTTGATAGTAGAAGTCATTATAACATATACTTGCATTTGTTTCTAAACATTGAGTAAACAAACAAATGGTAACATGAATTAAACGAACAGATACAGTAACATGCAGCTGGGAAACGGTTATTGTTTCTGTAACACGGAGTGACCTAAAGGATATGGTAGCATGCAGATAGCTAACTGGTACGGTAACCTGCAGTAAGCCAAGTGATCTAGTAACATGCAGTAAGCTAACAGCTCGAGTAACATATAACTAACACAGTAACATCACGTAACATTACCGCTGTAGAGAAACCTAGGGATATAACAAACACAAAGGGACCAGTGATTTCCGTTCGTTATAAGTGTATTTTGTGTACGCATCATTGCTCAAATTTACAGCAAGTGGCATGGACCAAACAAACAGACACTAGTATATCAGTCATTTGCTTTTTAGAGTGTTCGTTATAAATCGTTTACTGTATAATACATTCCGTTAAGTAACGTCTGAATGAACATACATTTACAAAGAGACATATAATATGCACTAGCAGATACAAGAACATACAGTTAAACAAGTATATCGTAACGCGTAAGCTTACGCACGTACTAAAACACAGTACACAAACATATGACGTCACAAAAACGTAACGGACAACTATACCCACTGACACAGAGTAAAACTAATGGATAAAGTATCATTACAGTTAACTAACATACACTTACAATCGGCAATAGTAGTATCGCTATATCCAGTACATTGAGTTAATCACAGTTAATTGATATAGGTGCTCGCTTAACAATGTAACATATCAAACACAAAATACTCGACACAAAAAATGCAAACTCCATTAACAGATGAAATTCTGTACCATTATAATCCCATGTAGAATAACAGACAGACAAATCTATACCAGGAGATATTTTAGATAAAGCAAAGCCACACATTTCTAAACTTTTCGGCTACATTACCTTTTATGCGCATACTTTTCGACCATAGTATCTCCTGGGACGCAAGGGAAAGTTTACTTCAAGCACTTGCCCTACCATGTTGAGGTTACTGGAGTATTTCATGGTGGTAGTTTTCAATTCAAGGACGTGCGCCAATACTGTCCTGAATTAAGTCATGTGATAATTACGTGGAAAACCTCTTAAGGGGGAAAATCAATTATCAGAATCATAAAATGTTTGAATTCTTTTACAAATAAAGTGTACACATGTATGTCCCTCAGGGGGATTTGACCGCGTGTTCTGCCACAAACTGCATTTCAATTATAGACGTAGAGATGAATTTAACAGTGTAAGAATTAGAAAAAAAAACAACTTCAAAAACTAACTGTCACAGGGCGTTGCGAAAGTAAATACGTGGGTAGACATAGAGAGCAGTTAGTATATCAATCGTTTTGATATCTGAAATACTGTACAGGATAAATTCATTAGCGCCTTTGTTGGTATTACTCGATATTGATATTAAGGAATACAAAGAAATAATTAGTGTACAAATCACGGGTATCCGTGATCAGTAATTTGTCCAACGGACAAAAACAAACCAAACGATTGAAAAAATCGTAATTATATGTTGATGTCGTCACCGATTAGACATTATGCAAACCAGAATAGCTTCGTCCAATACTGAACATTTATTCCACCAACATGTTTTTCGATTTTTCTGTAAAATCTAACACTCGACCTTAATAGTTACTATATCTTCTGTTCTGCACAATGAAGACACAATACTGGCACCAATGACAACAAGCACGATAACACTCGCGCGCACACAACACATACACACTTAGAGAGAGACACAGACAGACAGACAGACAGACAGACAGACACAGACACTCACACACAAACAGACAGACAAAAACTCACTCACACATCGACACTATGTCTGACGGCGGCGAAAGTGTGTCAAGACTATTTCCCTTCAATTTCTTTCTAAGAGGATTACAGGCGAGAATCATTAAGATCTCCCAGTATTCCCTTGGCGCAACTTACGGTGTCAACTACCGCATAAGGATTTGCATCGTCTTGCCATGACGAGGTTAAGTGATGATTAGTTGTCAACACAGTTCAAACGTCTTGATCTCGTAATAACCTTGCCGTAAACATGCATAAGATTTGTTCTTGAAGTTGATATGTTCAAGTTAAGTAGACTAAAGCCCAGAGTGCACGCATTCAGTTTAGAGTTTTATTCCTAAGTCCCATTGTAACATACTGTCTTGTCGATAGTAAATCGACATATCCGAATGTTTATGGGTCAGAAATGCCCATTTAGCCATTACAGATGACCTTGTTTCAGGTGATGGTTGTGTTCGGTCGTGATGCAGTTGTTGTCGTTCGTGTGTTTGACGTAAATAAGACGCTAAGGACGCAGTTTCAAACACTAAAACATAGATAAGCCTTTTGCATGTGCTTTATCCGCCACCTGTTTTAATTGGCAATGGTGGTATAGTTACTGGAGGTCATTCTGTTAACTGTTGTGTGGATCAGATATATCCTTGATAAGAAAATTGCTATCCTATCAGGAATAAAGTGAATAATACTTATAAAATAGCGTGGCAAGCTAGTTAATGGTGGATCAGTCAAGCTACAGGGGGGAGGAGTTATTGAGCAGATTGTGAAAGATCAGGCCTACACCTATCTTGGAATGCAAGTTCGAGACCGTTTATACATGCCAATCAATTCTGGAGGTCGGAGTTTGATTAATGTGGAAGGTCTTCATGATAGAATTTTGTTGTGTACCTTTGCACATATTTATTTATCGGATGATCCTCTGGTGAGGCATGTCAAGACTCATGATGAAAGCAAGGAATTCCACAGCTATTTTAAGCGTGCCAAGGTTGTTGGACAGAATCTGAAATTTGAGGTTAATTTGCTGATGGCGATGCACTGCTGGACGGTACAGCGATGGGAGTAAACCAGGTGAAGTCCTTCACCAAGTCTGCCCAGAGTCGGTCATTTGTGGAGAAACTTTCTGAGAAACCATTGCATCGTGTGTACATGCAGTGTGTGGAACAGAATAGCAATCCCACCGACTCATTCGCCTGGATGAAGTCGGCTGGTCTAAATATGAAACTGAGGGCTTTCTTTTGGCTGCTTTCTTCAGGACCAGTCACTTCCCACTCGCAATCGCCAAAATGTGATTCTTTAAGAAAATAAAGAAATGTCGACTTTGCAATGAATACACAGAGACTGTCCAACCTTGTCAGTGGACGCCCTTCCTTGGCACAAACAGCATATCTTAAGAGACATGATGGCACGGATCGTTGCTTTTACTACCGTCTCCGCCATGTGTGTGGCTTTGACTCCGAGGTCCATCAATGATACGACCCTGAGCATGTCCAAGGTATCATGGAAAATGATGCTTTCAAACTTCTGTGAAATAGGCCCATATACAACCTGAGAAGAATTCCTGCCAACAAATCCGATCTTGTCCTGTTTGATAAAGCCAATGAATTTATTTATATCATTGAATTTTCTGTCCCTTTTGACAGCAACGTGATTGGCAAGATTCAGGAAAAGCATGCTAAATATGCGGACCTCGCCTTTGAAATGTCTCGCTTGCATCCCAAGTACACTGTCGTCAGACTCCCCATTGTTCTCGGTACTCTTGGTTTGGTACCTCCTGATCTCTTGGCGCATATCAGGAGAGTGCCCGGGTTCTCCACCGGGAGCACAGCCCCCTTCTGACACTCTGGGTAATGCAGAAGGCTGCAGTGTTGGGTAGTCTACATATTCTCCGGAAAGTTCTTGGTGGTAAGACTTGGCAGCGTTTCCTGGGAGAAGTCCCATTCGCTGTCTGGGCTGCGTGTAGAGGGGACATTGACCCTGAGCTGATGATGAGCCTTACCAGCCTGACTGTGCCAGGATCACCTGAACCCTCCCTGCTGCATACTATGTTTAATCTGTAAAACAATATACCTTGAATATATTAAGATAACATCTAAATAGGCATTGTATGATTGAATTTGCAAATCTGCAAAAAGATAAGAGGTAATTGGCCAACAAATAAAAGGTATTTAGGACAGTTTCCTTGGATGGCTATTATCACAGTAATAATCTAACACGTCTCACGAGTGGTTTACGGCATTAATTTAGAGGACAAATGAACGTAAATGATTTTTAATCCGTGACTACAGATGACAATCAATGAAAATATGAATATGCTATAAACGTCTGTAACGTGTGTGATTATATGCCAACTATATACAAATTTGCTCCCAGAATCAGCAATGAGATGGGCACACCAACAAATTATCCACGTACGGCCTTTAGGTGTTAGATTCATTCCGATTACGTAAATATTAGTAGAGGCTGATATGTTCTGCGTGTGACCGTTATGGACGTGAAACATTTTGCAAATGATGACGTCATTCCTGTTGTGAATGACGTTTACATGTACAACACCGTCATTGCATGGCCTTCTACACCAGCACTCCTACATTGCTGGCAGAAGTGTGTGGACCTTCTTATGTTGATCAATAATCAACACCCGACTTCGTCAATACAAAGGTAGGTTCAGGACCTTTGAGTCATCCCCCGTACATTTATATAACACACGCAACACACCACATTGGATGCCTTGCCACACAGGAAGCATAACGATATAAGGAAGAGTTTTAATTAGACCAGTGCTTTCAGTTCCGTGGCTGATTGTCTCCTGCCTGGTGTGGAAGGTTGAGTGGTTCGTGTTACAGAAAACATCTCAGTGTTTTCATTCTCATTTACATTGCTTGTCTATAATGACAACCAAAGCTATTGCTTCCTAAGATTCTGGAGTTTTAATCAAACACACGTTTTCGTTTATCCGCTTTAAGTAAGGATCTACATAGAAGTACAGATGTATGCGTCTTCGATAGAGTGCCTCTGCACGCCATCGTCGCTTGGAGTCATGTAGGGCCAAGGTCGTATATGGAAAAACCTACTTTAAATAGCAAGGGAGATTTAGTGATACATGGCACATGACCAGTTCCTTATTCAACAACTGTTCCAGATACTACACTTACGCGCTTACTATCGTGCGACTTCCTGAATTTTGATATAATCTGATCGACTCATATAAGACAATTGGCTACGACATTCATGTTAGTGGTTTCCCTACACACAATATTATATACTGTAAGCCATTAAAAACGCAATTGGTATTTATTGTCCTGAAACTTACAAAGGGTCTATTGCAGATTTTTTCCTGCGATACAGAGGATGTAGGGATAAAAGGCTGTTATTCTGGCCCATTTCGAGTTCGAGTCCCGGAGCATTCCTCTCACATGAACTTTGATACTTAAAACTGAACCTTTGACATTTCTCGTAAACACAGCCACATTCATGAAACACGTTGTGCACATGCATTACCTGCACCCAGGCCCTGTAAAAGCACAAGGAATTGTGGAATTCAATCACTTTGAGAAAATGCCACACTTGACACAAGACGAAAGGAATCAGGTTATCGGTATGGTCAGCCAAGGTGCTTCAGATGTGATGATTACCAGGCACTTTAATGTGCATCCATCCACTGTAAGTCGACTCAGACAACGTTTTCGGGCTACCGGAAGTGTTGCTGATCGTCCGCGACCTGGTGCACCACCTGTGATAACAGCTCCACAAAACCGCAATATCCGAGTTTCACACTTGCGAAATCGGTTCCAAACAGCTGATGATTAGGCAAGGAGGACAATCGGGACAAGTCAACGTCATTTCAGCGCCCAAAAGGTGCAAGGACGCCTTGCTGCCTTCAACATCCGGTGTCGTCACCCGTACCGTGGTCCAACCTTATTGCATCGCCACAGACTTGCCAGACAGCGATGGGCAGCAAATGGGGCCAATCTTGGCAACAGGACATGGCCAGATGTCATTTGTTCAGATGAATCCAGGTTTAACTTATCCTTTGCAGATGGACGTCAACAGATTTATCGACGTAAAGGAGAAAGACTTGCGCCAAACTGTGTCCTTGAACATGATCGTTTTGGAGGGGGTGGTGTCATGATCAGACCACAAACCATCAGAGGCTGCAGACCATCCAACAGCTGTTCCTGAGAAATGTGTCTGTCAATGCCCCAAAGACTGCGAGCATTTCTTGCAGCGCACGGTGGACACACACGATATTGACTGCAAGTGACCCCTCCTTTGTTTGATGTCGTTGTTGCGTCACTGATGTTGTTGTTGACTGGACATTTTCAGATGAAATTATTCACAGATGTTCACTTAAAACATATCTGCAAGTTAGGTTTGTATATGTTGAGATTAGTGTGAGTAAAGAAAGTATGAATGTCAAATTGCGTTTTTAATGGCTTACAGTATATATTTGTCTTAAAATTTCCGAAATAGCTCTTCTCGGTCAGGTTGTATGTTAATCTGACAATCTGAACTATAGATTCCCAAACTGCATTTATAATCGTAAACGACAAAACTCATCATAATAAGAACTGCTAAGAAATTTCTGTCTCTAGCC